AAAGGTAAACACACTGGATACGAGTACAACGTAAACGTACTGGATACGAGTACAACGGTAACGCACTGGATACGAGTACTACGGTAAACCTACTGGATACGAGTACAACGGTAAACGTACTGGATACGAGAACAAAGGTAAACACATTGGATACGAGTACAACGTTAAACGTACTGGATACGAGTACAACGGTAAACGTACTCGATACGAGTACTACTGTAAACGTACTGGATACGAGTACAACGGTAAAGTACTGGATACGAGTACATTGGTAAACGTACGGGATACGAGTACAACGGTAAACGTACTGAATACGAGTACTACGGTAAACGTACTGGATACGAGTACAAAGGTAAACACACTGGATACGAGTACAACGTAAACGTACTGGATACGAGTACAACGGTAAACTTTCTGGATACGAGTACAACGGTAAACGTACTAGATACGAGTACTACGGTAAACATACTGGATACGAGTACAACGGTAAACGTACTGGATACGAGTACCACGGTAAACCTACTGGATACGAGTACAACGGCAAACGTACTGGATACGAGTACAAAGGTAAACACACTGGATACGAGTACAACGTAAACGTACTGGATACGAGTACAACGGTAAACGTTCTGGATACGAGTAGAACGGTAAACCTACTGGATACGAGTGCAACGGTAAACGTACTGGATACGAGTGCAACGGTAAACGTACTGGATACGAGTACAACGGTAAACGTACTGGATACGAGTACAACGGTAAACGTACTGGATACGAGTACAACGGTAAACGTACTGGATGCGAGTACAACGGTAAACGTACTGGATGCGAGTACAACGGTAAACGTACTGGATACGAGTACTACGGTAAACGTACTGGATACGAGTACAACGGTAAACGTACTGGATACGAGTACAAAGGTAAACACACTGGATACGAGTACAACGTAAACGTACTGGATACGAGTACAACGGTAAACGTTCTGGATACGAGTACAACGGTAAACGTACTGGATACGAGTACAACGGTAAACGTACTGGATACGAGTACAACGGTAAACGTACTGGATACGAGTACAACGGTAAACGTACTGAATACGAGTACAACGGTAAACGTACTGAATACGAGTACAACGGTAAACGTACTGAATACGAGTACTACGGTAAACGTACTGGATACGAGTACAGCGGTAAACGTACTGGATGTTAACCACACTAAATCAATACAAATGTGATGTTTTATCCAGTTGTCGGTGTTTTCAGTTCTGGTGTTCACTGTGACCTCCCACTTATACATGAAGGAATGGTGTTGAACTACGTCAATATTCTTAATTAATACTCGCGATAATGTCACCATATCGTTTCTTGATTGGTGAATTTGAATTCCACCAACGCTTTTTATTTATGAAAAAAATACATTTATACACTGTATTGTTTGATATTATGTTGTGTATAGTTTGCCTCTGGCATTATTATGTAAGAATAAATCCAATATCTATTATTTTCAATATTCATTATATGTGTGCAATACATTTTTCCCATCTGTTATGGAATTGTACTTCTGTATTCAGGCGAGTATTTCAATGATCTGAAATATGAAAGAACGTATTCGTGTAAATGATTATTGTGCTCAACTTTGACTCAAATTGTTGGTTTTCTGTCCACCCGAACGACGCCAGAAACTCACCATAATCAGTTTTGTCATACCTCAACAGTCTGAATCCGCTATATCTAGCCTATATAAATATATAGAGTGTACATTTCCCAATCAATTCCCTATGTAAGGATAGGTAGTATACATTCCGAGTTGTGAAGCGATAATGCCTACCCACTTCCAAACTGTTAAATGAAGTTTTTTTTACAGAGACAATATTGCCTTCATTGTATGGCATATGAAATCATGGTATATCAACTTTGTCAAATTTTGGAAAACTTAATGTTTAAAAAAGTTAACAATTCATATGACGGACGACTCACATGCAATATGATATGCGCACTTTTTAAAATAAAGCATTGATGTCCGGCTATATACATGTATGTACTGGCGATATACGTGTTGTCGATATACACTTGCGATATATCAGTGCACTGGCGATACATGTACTGGCGCTATAAATAATGATATATGCACCGGCTATATATGTACTGGCAATATATGCACTAGCGACTGGTAATAACTAAAATTAAAAAATACTACATCCCTGCAGCAATTGTCAAAGTTGTCAGGGTTATGAGAGAATCTGAACAAACAACGCTAATGACGTCAGTGCAATGAGCACTATCTGGCAGCATAATCAATGACACCTTCAAATAATGTGCGAGTCGTAAACAAAAAAAAAACTCCCTCAAAGCTTTCTTTCTTTTTATCGAGGCGATCGTATAAGTAGCACATTTGTAATGACGTTTCATCGCTAATCGCAATGTACACACTAACTATGATTAAGACACGTACTGTCACCACGCATAGCAAGGAGCCAGCAGCAAGTTATCTAATATGGTTACTAACTAATCGTCCTTCTCATACAGAGAAGTGAACAGCATGAACAGCGGTAAATTTCATGTCATTCTTTTTGAATGAACTATATAAAAATAGTAAACCATATGTTATTTTAACCTACATGTAACGTGTGGGCCCTTCGACACTGTAGTAATTAAATATAACCTCATATACGACATATCGTCAAAGACGGAAACTGTTTTTACTGTGCTATACGGCTGGGGCTATTTCTTTTTATCACTACGCATGTTAAAAACTCTTCCTTGGTGTGTTTCAGGGCTGTTTTTACAACTGTTTGTGACCACCAATCTGCAATCTGCCTTGGCATGTTCAAGCTGGCATTCCACAGTAGACCGAGAATCATACAAAGAACACGGCGTTCACACTTGGAACGTTATGTTATAACTCTGTATCTACTTTCGCCAAGAATTTTCTATAATCGCACAGATAAATCCAAACCGTTGTTTTGTTTTAAACCAATTTAACCTTTTTCAAAATCGTTACTGGAATAATTTACCCAAGCTCGAAAGCAGGCATGATCAACAACATTTCATTGCTCGTCCGAAATTGAGCGTGTGCAATATCAATATAATGTAGCGTTCGTCTAATAACGCGTGTGCCTAGCGGACAACTAGTTCCAAACGAAATAACAAAATCTGCTTCAAAATGCGTCTGCATTTATCCCACAGCACATACAGATCGTGTAACCATGCATGATAAGTAGGTGATTACACGACGACATCGTGATATGGCGCCGTTGTACTCGCGATTATGATATTTTGACTCGTCACTACTCGACTCGTCAATATAACATGTTCACTCGAAAATACAACGCGATTTTCTGGTGATTGTTTATTAAATCGCAGTAAAATAAATATTACACTTATTTGGCCGTTCTATTTGATTTTTGTCGAAATGTACACTAGCATGTGAGCAAATATAATTATCTATCCTCGACACATATTCGTTCTTGTTCAACTCCTACAAAGGCACTAACATCAGCACATAAGTTTGTTTCATTGTATGTAATAACCTGATTGTTTAGTAAATAATTAAAATAATAGTTATCTTCATTTAAACCGAATCACTATGTAATAGATGCACAGATCTAATTAATAGATGCACAGATAAAATAACTGAACAGAAGTAAATAGGCAAATTTTAGAAATACAAAAACACACCACGTTTCGGGTGTACACCCTTCATCCTGACATTAATACACGATAAGACATTGGTTCTAGCTAATTTAATATTTAAATGAGTAATACGAAAGGCTATACCCCTATAATGTTTAGATATGAAGAGAGATGGGCCATACTAGTGAACGGTAAACTACATGAACAGATACTGAATTAAATGGCGAAAAGACGGAAAATACCAAATATGTAAAATCTACTGCAGACTTAGTGGTACGCCCTCACAAGTCTTCCACTTGGCAATATATGCATTACAAATATTCACCAACTAGTATTATATATCAAGGTACCCAGGCTCAAGTCGAAATCAGTTAAACAAATGGACGTACACTGAAATAACGAGTGAAATGATAAACAAAGTCTGCGTCGCTAATCAATGGCTTAGAGTGAATTGTTTATTGCAAAGCTGTGTTACGAGCAGGTGCCATGCCATTTCTTTTACGAACGTAGCTAAAACCTAATAGTTACAAACAGTTGGCGGACACTTGATTTGTTTACGGCATCTTCAAACGATCATCACAAGAATCGTCGTTACTCATCACATCCTGAAACCGACATGACAGGTTTAAAGTCTTAGAACACATACCCTGTAATCCACTGGAAAGCCACGTAAGGAAATAGAACGAGGCGAAGTTGGCGTAATTTATCACGTATACTAGTAGTTAGTTATTCCAGTGTGGCTGGTTAACAGACCAGTGTTGACATAATGTTTTACTAAAGTCGTTAGCTGTATATAGCATAGATAACACTGTATTCTGATCGTATTAATTTATAATGCGTTAGTAATGGATCTAGAAAATCCATAAGCAACGGTTGCTTATAATGCATGATGCCGTGTACATTTCATTGCGTATACGTATCAGTTATGTGAAACGGGTCCACTGGGTTCTTGAATTATATTACATTGCCCAGGCATTCACTGTTATGTGTTCTAAAGTAAAATTCAACGGTTTTATACCACCTTCCATACATCTTTACGTTGACGTTTATTTATGACGTTTTCTTTCAAGGCCCCTTATCGTGGTCAGTATAATTACACTAACATTTATTTACATACTGCTAGGGAGTCTAGCCGATCCCATATTATGGTCAATGTGATTAACCTGACACCTTTGTAGATGTATAAATTGAAATGTTTTAGGTGGGTGTCAGAAAAGACACGATGTGTGTAGATAATGGTGAGAACTCTAATTAGAACGAAGGATTGAGTTATGTGCGGATGTAAACCTTCTCTCTCAATTACGTCCAACACTGACAGTTTTTAATGCCAGTCAGTAGTGCTACTCACCAATTACGCACAGCCTTTCACAATTTCAGAAGGGCGAACGTAAGCAAGGATGTCTCGTTTACGTGGAACGGACAAAGCCAAATTGATCCAAAGTGTTATTTTATGTAAAGGATATTGCCTCATTTTAGTCCCTATTGTGGCACAAATAATCTCAAATTGTGTAAATCTGAGTCTAGGAAATTAAAGTTCAGTTTACCCTTAGTTAGACATCCAACATTCGCATATAAGTACGTGAGTACAATTCGTATTTAGTAACATAAAAATTAGTTGTCGTCTGTCTCATTACTTTCATCACAGCAGTTTGTACTGTATAATTTCCTTCATTTCCTCGTCAAATGTATTTTGTAAAACCAGGCCTAAGCCCAAGGAAATGTTTGACGTTGCGTTAGTAACAATAAGTGAGATGTCATGTCATTGCCAACTCAAGTATCGCACAGAAAAAGGTTTTATTGAGGCCTAATGACACAAATGACTCGTTCTAAGTACTAGAGACTAGATGGCGAAGCCGACTTCAGTAAGATACGAAATAAATGCAAAGTACATTAGCGTACATATCAATTCACATGAAAAATGTACAACTAGATAGAGGGGTATAGTTCGATTTGTATTTTTGGAAGGAACTTATCTATTAATATCTAGAGGGAATCTTTCCTAAATTACGAAAACTTGTAAATGCCACTGAAAATCTCAGAGTTTATAATTATGCGGGAAGTATACAACACACTCTGTTATCTGTAGTTGATTCAAATAGAAACATAATTTGTTTCATATTTCAAAAATGGTGAATGAACTACCTAGTGATCTTAGTGTTGCGTTTGACTCCCTGTTTGGCTTGGGGATATTTAATGATATTAATCGATCGCACCCAGAGACCCATTTTTATCGCATTCTGGCACAACGATGTTATACGGCGTGTTTCCACGACAGAAAACTTGAATTCCGCAGAAAGAGTTTCTCTAATATAGTATAATATGGTGTGATACCGTATAACATAAGAGAAACCCCCACTGTGCAATTTTGTTTCACAGAGTCGAATGTTCTCATTCGACGTTCAGGTTTATCTTCACTTGAATATATGTCATGTCATTTGGTCAGTTGATGACGTTGATTATGTCACGTGTGCAACAGGTAATGGGCGAGGCAATGGGGGCTCGTTTTGTTGGTTTCCGTAATTAGTTAGTCGTTCACATGTAATAAATCTGACCCCGTCTTGGACCATGTTATTGCAG